GTTTGTGTTTTTTTGAGATATTATTTTTATATATATATATATATATACATATATATATATATATATATATATGTATATATATATATATATAAAATATTATTTTTTCCGCCTTGCTTAGATAGCATTTGGGCTTAGCTATCCCCTCCAAAAGGTTGTTTTTTTCTATGTTGAATCCTGAAATTTTGACCAATTTCGGACTCTTATTGTTTCATTGTATTGGATTTAGCCGTCCCCAATTTCATACTACTTCACGAAACTTACTATACCGTATGGCCATATTGTATGGCTCTCTCTGCTAAAAAGATTCCCGGCCACTGAAATAGGCCCTTTATTGGCATGTCTGTCCTGCTGCTGTAAGAAGTGAATTTCCCCAGTATGGGATGAGTAAAGTCTTATCTTATCTTAATTACTTCTTCTGTTTATGTATATCAATAAACTAAATCACAAATCCATGCAAAAAAAAAAAGTGTGCTAATGACATCCTTCTCTCTTCTTCTTATTCCAGGAAATGTTGAAATGCAGCAAGAACGAAGGCACTGCAGAGTTGGAGGAAGCTCTAGCTACGATGTTAGACATAATCAAATCGGTCAATGACTCCATGCATCAGATAGCCATCACCGGCTTTGAGGTGCAGTATGAATTTTGCCATGCCACATCAACACCATTATTATTTGAGTCCAAGATATATATGTATATATATATATTTATATATATATGTACATATATATATATAATAATCTACCAGCAGCACTCCCTTTGTGATCTACTGGTAGATCCTAGCCCTATTCTAAGTAACGCATCAACCACTGTTACAGTGGGACTCTGCCCCCATCTTTTCATTGGAGGGCCACTTTAGTGTTCATTGTTCATGACAAAAATAAATATAAACACTGTATAATACTAAGAGAAAATAAAATGTTCCAGCTTCTTACTGAAACATTTTATTTTCTCATTATTTTCTCATTACTTCTCATTAAGAGCACAACTGAATATTTTAATTACTTGTAATAGAAAACATAATAATAATAATAAAAAAATAATCAAGAGAAAACTTAAACTCTTATTGACATCATATCCCAGGCCTGATATCAGGTTTTCGTGGGCAGGAAGTGACCTACAAGGAGTTTGAGACAAAGTGTATTAAAGAGAAATAAATAGTCAATTTTGATCAGGCACCTCCAAAGTTACTACTGATACAGAGACATGGTGCGATTCACATGGATAGTCTATAGTGGATTGGCCTCAGTTATGGAAATTTTTTTCTAGCAAAAGTTTTTTTAAGGTTTTCAAGCATTATCAATTCTTACCCAAAGTTGTGAAACTTGTTTCCTGCGGAGCATTGTTTATGCTAATTCGTTTTCAGTAAAACAACAAAATTACCCCAAAGTGTGACCACATCTGTCACTACAAGCCAGGAGCAGTCTGAGAACATCAAGTCTCACAAATTTCAGATGTTGTGAGTCACCTGAGGTACGAAGGCACAGCAGGTGAAACGCTAAGAAAAAGAAGTGGCACTTTCCTTTGCCTTAAAAATAATCGGGGGACGTGAACGTTTTTAAGTGATATATTATCTGTGAGAAAATGAACAAGTCGTGTCTGTAATGATCCACGGTTGCTCAACTTTTAATATGAAGTGTGTGCTGATTTCTACAGGGAAACATAAACGAGCTCGGAAAGCTGCTGATGCAGGGTTCCTTTAATGTGTGGACTGACCACAAAAAAGGACACAGCAAGGTACGGCTCCCTCAACCATCCCTGCATGTTTGGGCCCTGTTTTTGCAAGTCTCTGTTTTTGGGAACTGGGCTGGAAAAAACACAGGAAGAATTTGTCTGATCAGTTTGAACCATTGAAGCTGTATTTACAGTAGATGATTGTTGTTTGTTTTAGGTAAAGGATCTGGCCAGGTTCAAACCGATGCAGAGACACCTGTTCCTGTACGAGAAGATGCTCTTGTTCTGTAAGAGGCGTGAGGAGACGACAGATGGACATGAGAAGACACCGTCCTACAGCTTCAAACACTCAGTCAAGGTCAGACAATGATGCCACCGTGTCCGAGCGAAGGAGACATCCTTAAACATTAGTTGCCGACTAGGATCATATATCCAAAATAATCTCTCCTCCAAAAAAAAAAATGTTTATACTAAAAAAATTCTCCATCTCCTTCTTTACAGATGAGTGATGTGGGAATCACAGAAAATGTCAAAGGAGACAGCAAGAAGTTTGAAGTGTGGTGCAACGGCAGAGAGGTGGTTTATATTATTCAGGTAATATGATGATTATTTCTAGCATTTAAAATACCGCACTGCACTTCCTGTATGTTATTATTTTTAGAATCTAAAAAAAAAAATCTTACATTTGTTTGTTAATTTTTGTTATACTAATATATTTGCACGAGTTAATGCTGCTATTCACATTTATTTACACTAGGGGGCATTGTTGCGTCGTACAAGCTTTTCCACCGAACTTCACTGAGAGAGAAAAAAATTACTGTCGGGTCGCTCTTGTTTATATGGAGGTTGTGTTATGTTGTGTGTGTGTGTGTGTCTCACTCTGTGTGGATGTGTGTGTGTGTGTGCGCGCGCCTTTGTTCCCCAGGCTCCATCCATGGATGTGAAAAATATGTGGGTGTCACAGATTCGTAAAGTACTCACAGGACAGCTGGAGGCATGCAGAGGTACAAACATGCATGGGACGCACACACACACACACACACACACACACACCTACACAGTTGAACTTGTGCCTTATCTTCACTAGAACATGTAAAAATATACAACCACATTTGCTTGTATATTTAGTGTTGCAGTGGCAGCTAGGGTGGAGCAGTGGTAGTATTCTTGGTTTCCCTGCACAGACTCCCAGGTTTGAATCCGACCGGTCGTCCTAACATCCCGCCGTTGTTGGTGAGGGCCGTGTCAGGGGGTGAATCGGTCTGTGTTACAGAATGGACCAAATAGCAAAGCAGACTGCCACTGACATTTTGTCTTGACGGTTGCATTTGTTTTGTTGTGGACGTTTGGTTTTGAGCATTACCTCCTTTCAGTCTCATCAATCATTATCGAATACTTAACAAAGTACCTTCTTAAGTCTCCCGTCTTTCCAGACACAGTTAAGGTCGTATTGACGCATGCGAACCGATCCAGACACAAACACACACACACACTGTGTCACGTTTGCTTGACCTCTGTGATTTTCTACCTCTAATGTTGATGCTGTGGTCATGGGTGACAGCAGGTCACGAACTCCCTCTCTCTATTGGTCTCTCTCCCTCTCTCTGTCACGCATACCCTCGCACACATACACACATGTGCCGTGACTGAAACTCCACGTGAGGAGAGAGTAATATCGAACCACGAGAAGGGAATGTTGACCCAATATAAAGACACCTTTGAGCGAGAACGAAGAGTCGAAGAGGACGTGAAACGGGCAGACAGAGACGGAGGGAGTGTCAGTTACAGATGGAGGCTGTAGGGGGAAAAACCGATGAGCATGGGGAGGAGGAGGGGGGTGAGTGTTATAAGTGGTGAGAACACACATAAGTCAAGGAAAGTTGGATCTGTAAAAAAACTCAAATTTCAAATTTCTATACTGAGGGACATTTAGTTCAACTCGAAACAAGTCTCTCTCTCTCTTTTTGTCTGTATGTATCTTCAACAAACACAGTCTTCTGTATGTTATCCACACTCTGCGAGACTGGCTTATCCATTTCTCGTGCAAACAAAAACTTTTAATCTCGAAAAAGATTCGCAGTGCTTGAGAAACCATTGTTGGCTCATGACTTCACCACGTCCGTAGCCTGCGTTGGGATTCCATACAGATTTTTGGCTGGTGGCCCGTCTCCTAACCCATGCCTGACTGTGTTTCAAATTAAATTATATTTATATTTAATCATATTTAACAAAACTCATTAAATACCAAAGTTTTAAATAATTTTCATGATCAGTTATGGACCATTGAAACTGATTAACTGAGTCTTTTTTTTTTTTTTCAATTTTCCAAAATGGTCGATTCTCGAGGTTGTTCACGTTGGATGATCACTGACCATGATCGCCAGGGACCCTGGTCTTCAGCGCACAGATTTTATGGTAGTTCAATCTGGGCTTTGGGTGCTCCAGTCAGTACCATTCAATTAATTTTATTCTTGTTTCAGGAATACAGTAGGACAATGAGTCTTTTCTATAGTTTTCCAAATGCGCTGAAGCCTGACTCCACGTGTCACTGTAGGGAGAGCATTGTTAATTTTTGCAAAAATAAACAGCAGAAAGTTGTATAAATTTGTCTTTCATCTCACTAAATAATTCTTCTTTTCTGGACATCGTTGTTAACATCTTAGATGTGTCCATTTGTCGGGGGAAGTTTCTGGTTGTCAGCAACCACTTACATTTACAGCACATTACAATGTGGGACTTTCAACCCTTAGCCAAGTCATTCACATGTGGCAGTTCTTTTAATGTCTTTCATTTGATTGTATAATTTTTTGAAAGGATTCTGTTTTTGTTTTTTTTTTAACTGTTTCATTTTCTGCTCCATTTTTCCTCCCAGTTTTATTAGTACCGACTACTAATAATACTATAGAGTCTTGTTCCTATTTCTCAGGGAGAAAGAGGGAAGTTGGTGGGATGTATAGGAGACTCGCACTGTCAGCATTTCCACAATTACCCACCCTGGTTTTAACAGGAAACGGACTCTGGCTGTGATCAGTGAACCGGTCAAAGTTAATGTGTAACACACCTGAGCGAGACAGGTCTGTATCAGTAATGCATTCTTGAATGTGTTTGTTCTGGTGAATCCAGTATCTGAAGCGTATTGATTGCGCTCTGCTGACTCAGTGCTGTCTTGTCAGGTCCAATCATTCACATAGGTTTGTGTTTCCTTAAATGAGCTATGTGTTAGTGCAAAGCTGAGTCTGAGTCTGAGTCTCTACAGCATATGATGTTATGCTGCTACATTCTTGGGGGGGTTTCTTGTCACACAGCACAATCTTGTGGCAGCCGGCATCTGTTAAAGCAGCATTTATGATGCGTCTTGTTTAGATGTGTGTAGTCTGGTCCCTGGAGCTGCCTTCCACTGGAGCTCCTCCTTTACTGTGGAGCTTCAGTGATCTCTATCTGGACAGAAACGGCCCCCGATAGGTTGTCACGGAAAGGAAGGTTCTGAAGGATTCGGCTGCAGAAGTCACCTGCCGTAAACCTATTTGCCACTGAGTGTGTCCTTTATGCTTT